AAACAATCTGCAACCCTTACATTGAAAGGGAGAAAGTTTGGGTCATATCAAGGGAAAAGATTTGTAGTGAAAGAGAGTAAGAGTTTTACTGAGGATCATGGAGGCGAAGATGAGGAATTGATTGAGTCAAGTTATTACAGAAATATTGTGGAATGATAGGTCAGAGGACCTTTTGACAGTGGCTTTGTAATTGACATTGGAGAGTTGTTTTTGTATGAGGTTGAGGCAGAAAGAAGTGGAAAGGTCATGATCACAAATGATCTTGTCTGTGATCAGAATATTCACATTATATGTGATACAAGATTAAGGGTAGTGGCCATAAATACGGGTAGGAGAGTTTGTGGAGAAGGAGGTTGAGGAAGTACAGGAGATTAGTGAACTTTGAGAGTAAGCAAAGTGAGTTGAGATGAGGTTGAAATCACGCAAGTTGATCGTTTTGTCCTTACAGAGACTGAAGGATGAAAGGAGTTAGAATATCTGTCAGAAACTGAGGATCAAATTTGGTGCTCAACAAGGAATGATAATTACAAGGAAGAGATTGAGTGACCGGAGCAGGTTGGCTGGAAAGGAAGAGAAGGTTTAGCACAGCCTGTGAATTAACAAAATTGAGATTTGGTTACCATGGCATTTTGGCCAGAGCAAATGATGGTAAGTTCGGTAGGGCAGATTTTTGAGTAAGGGGAAAGATGTCAACACTTGTGAACCAAGTTTCAACACAGATGTGATATCAATGCAATCGTCCACAGTAAAGTAATAAATACCCAGGATAAAAGTAGAAAAGTATGGAAATACTGAGCAAATCGGGCAGCATCAGAAGGAGAACAGAGATAAGTTTTTCAGATCAGTCAACTGTGTTCTGATGAACGATCATTAACCTGAAATGCCAACTCTGTTTTTAGAACAGTGTCACAGGACAGGCCCTTCGGCCTACGATGTTGTGCCGAACTTTTACCCTAAACTTAAGCTCTATCTAACCTCCAACCCTACCTTATACTATCATCCATATGCCTATCTAATAGCTGCTTAAATGCCCCTTATGAGGCCGACTCCACTACCCTCTCCGGCAATGCATTCCACGCCCCGACCACACTCTGAGTAAAGAACCTACCTCTGACGTCTCCCCTACATCTACATCCACTCACTTTAAAACTATGCCCCCTCGAAATAGCTACCTCCACCCTAGGAAAAAGTCTCTGGCTGTCCACTCTATCTATACCTCTGATCATTTTGTACACCTCTATCAAGTCACCTCATCTTTTTTCGTTCTAAAGAGAAAAGCCCTAGCTCTCTCAACCTTTCCTCGTGCGACCTTCCCTCCATTCCAGGCAACATCCTGGTAAATCTCCTGTGCACCTTTTCCAATGCTTCCACATCTTTCCTGTAATGAGGCGACCAGAACTGGACACAATACTCGATGTGGCTGAACCAGGGTTTTGTATAGCCGGAGCATAACTTCACGGCTCTTGAACTCAGTCCCTCTATTAATGAAAGCTAACACACCATACGCCTTCTTAACAACTCTATCCACCTGTGTGGCAGCTTTCAGGGAACTGTGGACATGAACCTCAAGATCCCTCTGCTCCTCCACACTGTCAAGAATCTTTCCATTAACCCTGTATTCTGCTTTCAAGTTTGTCCTTCCAAAGTGAATCACCTCACACTTTTCAGGGTTAAACTCCATCTGCCACTTCTCAGCCCACTCTGCATCCTATCAATGTCCCTTTGTAACCTAGAACAGCTCTCCACACTATCCTCAACTCAACCCACCTTCGTATCATCCGTGAATTTACTAATCCACCCTTCCACTCCTACATCCAAAGCATTTACAAAAATCACAAATAGAAGAGGACCCAGAACAGATCCTTGTGGTACACCACTCGTAACTGAGCACCATGTTGAATATTTTTCGTCCACTACCACCCTTTTGTCTTCTAAGGGTCAGCCAATTCTGAATCCAATCTGCCACATTTCCCCCTGTCCCATGCCTCCTTACTTTCTGCATGAGCCTACCATGGGGAACCTTATCAAACGCCTTACTTAAATCCATGTATACCACATCCACTGCTCTACTTTCATCCATGTGTTTGGTCACTTCTTCAAAGAATTCAATAAGGTTTGCAAGGCATGATCTACCCCTCACAAATCTGTGACTATTCTACTCCTCACAAATCCATGCCGACTATTATGGAATAGTACAGTCGCAACATGTCATCCTAACTCGTATACTCAATCCAAATGACCAATGGAGGCAAGCGTGCCAAACACCACCTTCACCACCCAGTCTACCTGTGACTCCACTTTCACCCCAAGGTCCCTTTGTTCAGCAATGCTCCCCAGGGCCTTACCATTAAGTGTATAAGTACTGCCCTGATTTGCCATACCAAAATGTGACACCTTACATTTATCTAAATTAAACTCCATCTGCCACTCTGCAGCCCATTGGCCCATTTGATCATTTGTACTCTGAGATAATGATCTTCTTCACTGTCCACTACATTACTTATTTTGGTGTTATCTGCAAACTTCATAACCAGACCTCCTATATTCACATCCAAATCATTTATATAAGTCACAAAAAGCAGTAGACTCAGCACTGATCCTTGTGGTACACCTCTGGTGACAGGCCTCCTGTCCGAAAAACAACCTCCACCACCACCCATCCAATTCGGGACTTTTGTTTTTCCACAGGTTTAAGTGTCATTAATGCCAAAATCCATTTCCTCCTTGAAAAAGTGTTTTCACCACCGAGTCAACGATATTGACGACATCTGAAGCTTTTTTACTTGCTAATAAATGATTTAGTCATACAGCATAGAAACATAGGCACTTCAGCCCACCATGTCTGTGCCAACCAACAAATGCCAAACTACACTAACCCTATTTACCTGCACATGGTCAATAGCCTACAATGCCCTGGCATTTTAAGTGCTCATCCAGATGCAGCTTAAATGTTGTGAGAATACCTGCCTCCATCACCACCTCAGGTAGCACGTTCCACCCTCTGGGTGAAAAAAAAAATTCCCAGATTTCCTCTTAAACCACTTACTCCTCACCTTAAACTTATGTCCTCTGTTCTTAGACAAGTCTGCATTGGGAGAAGAAATTCTCACAATCTACTCTGTCTCTGTGCTGCCCAATTTTGTATACCTCAGTCAGATATCCACTCTGTTTTCCTTCGAGCAAAGAAAACTAATTCAGCCTATCCAGTTTAACTGGTCTCTAATTACCTGGCCTAACCCTATTGCCCTTTTTGAACAAAGTAACCACATGAGCTATCCGCCAATCATCTGGCACTCCACCTGTAGCCAGCGTAGCATTACATTTCTCCACCAGGGCCTCAGAGGTTTCCTCCTTTGTCTCCCATTGCAGCCTGGGATACATCTCGTCAGGCTCTGGGGATTTATGCACCTTTTATGCCTGCTAAAACATCTAACACCTCCTCCTTATTAAGATTGATGTGTTCTGGAACCTCACCATCCCAACTTCAATCTCCAGCTACAGTGTCTTTCCCCTGTTTTTAATGTGCTGAACAAAACACATGTTTACTAATTTTTCTTCTTCAAACTCACAAAAACCTTTGACATCCAGAGTTCTCTGGACTTGCTGTCTTTTCTCTTCACTCTTAGAGGAACATGCTGGCCTTCAATTCTCACTATACTATGTTTAAAAGATTCCCACTTTGGAAATGTAGGTTTGCCTGTAAGTAGCTGCTCCCAGTCGATATTTGTCAAATCCTGTATAACGATATTGAAATTGGCCTTCCCTCGACCTGAACACCACTTCTGCACTATCCTCATCCCTTTCCATAATGACTTTGAAACTTGAGAGGTATAGTAACTATCCCCAAAATGGTCGGCCACTGAAACCTCAGCCACATGTCTGGCTTAATTCCCTAGGATTAGGTCTCGTACTCCCTCATCTCTAGTAGGATTATCTATGTACTGGCATAAAAATCTTTCCTGGAGCAATTTTAAAAATTCCCCATCTGACTCTATCTAATAATTTTACACTAAGGCTATCTCACTTGATGTTAGCAAAGTCAAAATCCCCTACAACTGTAACCCTGTTTCACACACATCTTTCAGCGATTTGCCTATATATCTGCTCCTCTATCTCCTTCTGGCTGTTGGGAGGCCTATAATATAGTCCCAGCAAAGTAATCACCCCTTCTTTATTTCTATTCTCTGCCTAGATGGCCTCATTTGATGACCCTTTTTGGACATTCTTTCCCATTAGTGCAGTGATAGTTTCCTTTGTCACTTATACAATGCCTGCCTCTCCATACAGTCAGTCAGCAGCTGCACTGAACATAATTCCTGCATACGTGATCATTATGGACCCTAAGTGTATTCCGCAGGATCAGGTTCTCCTGCCTTTGTGAATCTTACCAACTACAGACAACAAACTAGGCTTCAGTTACTCACCCTTACCCACTACTCACCAAGTCAGATTTTTCTCTCTTGCTCTCTATTTCTAACAAAATACCAACCACAAAAACAAGGACTTCACATTCTCTTCCTCCTGGTACTACTCTCACAGTCTCTAAAGCTGGTTCCTAAGCAGTTCTACATCATTTTTTTGAACCCTGATGTCACCTCAGAAGCTCTGCCTCTGGATTCATTTGAAAGTTGCACCTACCCCTCTCCACTCCTGTTGCTGTGCATGAGTTCTGAGCCCTGGTGCTCAAGCTTCTAAGTAGAAGCTCCGCTGCTGCCATTCAACCCCAGGTTTTCTCCTCTCCTCCTCTTCCTCCACTGCTGCTGCTTCTCTGACTGAGCTCTTGTATAGGTTTATTATTTCCTATTCAATGTAGCACTGGAGTGAGACTTTGTTAGACTGGGCGATGAGCTGCACAAATTATCTGCTTTTGTCTACCTTTTTAACCAACATGGTAATTAATGGGCAACTAATAATTGTATAGATATCTTGATACTAATTGATTAAAGCACATTCAAGTAACTTTAAAATGTTCAAGCATCTAACTCATTTTTTTAATGCAGTGTAGTGTGGGGATGGAGCCCAAGCCCTCAAGGAAACCCACAAGATTGTCTCTTGAAGGACACAACTCTTTATCTGCGCCTTCATCAGGAACAAAAAAGTTCTACGAGAGTAGATCAAATGGCCTGAGTGACTTTTGTGCAACAAGAGAAACTCCAAATAAAATGGAAAATGAAATTCAGGTAACAGCTTCTTTTTACATATCTTGAGGTAATGGTAACTAAAAAATAAATATTACAACAACTTGCAATATAACAAACCTCTTTGATGGCTAAAATGTTTAAAATTGTCTTACGGGAGGGGGATGAAAAAAAATGGTTACGGCAGGTGTTTGGAGATGATTGTTGGATCAGAAGGATGGATTTTATAAAAGGTATTAAAAGTGCTGACAACGGCAAGAACTTTGGACATTTGGGCCGGGGTGCTTTTTCAACTGGGAGGAGGTGCAGAGAAGGATAAAGTTGGAGGACCAAAGAATATGGAGATTGGGTGAAGCTGCGGAATGAAAAGTGCCAATATATAATTAAAAATGAATACAGGATTTTTTTAATGCTTCCAGAAAGCTAGTTGAAGGATAAAAACCAGTACTTACTTTGAGTTATATATTACAAGCATACATCTTTTAACCTAAGGGCCATTGTTCCAGTTGCATAAGTGAAATTCCAGTTAATTCCCACTGACTGCATACAATCAAACGCAATTAATGTAATATTAACAGATTCCCTTCTTTCAATGTAATCAACTTCAAAACAAAATGAATCAGATTTCCATATTCAGTGCAAACTTCATATTGCAAGACACCCCACCTCTAGAACCTTCTGAATAATTTCTTAATAAGCATATTCCTCTTTGTAAAATAATTCAGTATTTAATTCGCATGTTCTGTTCTTTCCAGATTTGTTTCAAGCCAACAATACATGACCCTTTCTCTCACATTTTTCAGTGTATATTATCCACATATCATTTATTGGGGATCTTTATTCCAAGTGTGTATAATCTTACAAGTTTTGACAAATAGAATCCCATGTCCACTGCTTCCAAAATAACTATTGTTTCAACAGAAAAAGTACTTTAACACTTTTTGTTTCTCTCCAAGCTGAAGGACACTTCCTCTTTTCAACTGTAATATTAGGAAACTAACTGTCCTGGAAAATCAGGAAGATTTATGAAGCATTGGTCAAAGCTAATAGGTTTCATCATTATGCAAACAAACATGAACCTACTGTCTGCATATCTCCAGATTTAGTGTTTTCAATGTTTTATTTGCCCTTAAAATATTCTCAACTTTTAATATGTTTCATCATCGTTCAATACATTGTATCAAAACTAGTGTCTGACTAGTGAGTTTCCAGCAGTTTAAATAATGAATCAAACTCTTCAATTGTTCTGTCTTTCCTTAAATAAAATTTCTTTTTGTGAAAACATGCTTTGGTTATCCACAATGGAGGTGAGACTTTGTAAATTGGATTGTTGAATTTAAAGTTATTCTAAAACTGTTCTGTTTATGTCTAAACAAATATATTTAAAAATCTAATAAGCCTAAGTCCTGATTTTAAATTCCATTTTAATCTTATAACATTTCTTATTCTGCAGTACCACTGCCAAAGAAATAATCATAACATGTTTTTTGAAAATATCTAAACATTTTCCTTTATAATCAATCAAACATTGCATGATTGCCTGTAAGTTGAACACAATTCATTTCCCGCAAAACAGACCTCACCAAACAACAAGCTATGGAAGTGTTTATTTTCCATTGTTCTACTTCTGCATCTGTTGTCCCTTTCACATGGTTTCAGAAGCACTTTCATTTGAAAAGTACCTCTCTGTAGAAATGCTTTTATGTTGATTGATTTCCATTCCGAAGGATGCATAGCCAAAAGAGTTGGAAAAGTTACTTTAACCATTACTGGAGAATTCTCTTTATCACTGGCTCTTCAAACCCACTAGCAACTAACTTCCTTTAGCCTTGTATCTCCCATTGCTATGGACTGTTTTAACAGTCACACCCACGTAGCAAAACTGGTTGTCCCGTATATGATACCTCAGAATAAAATCAACTTTCTCTAATTAGCTAATTTCCTTTAGTTTTGGTTATCTTTTAATTTATCCTTGATCGTTAGCAACCACCAAAACTTCATAATCATGAAGACTTCTGCTTCCAGCTCTGTTCATTGTGTCTGCTGTCGTTTTGTTTTCTAGTCTAGTCCACTCCATTATGACCTCTGTTTGCACTTCTGTGTCTATTTGGGATGACCACCATGAGATCTCCTCCTTACAAGACTGGAGGATTTATCTCCAAAATATTATCCTTTTCTGACACCAACTATTTCTGAACCCTTTATTAGTATTTCCATTGTTCTTTCTTACGCACCACACTTTTCACACTCCTCCATTCATTAAACCTTGCTGGAGTATGTGCAGTCTGCGGACATATTCCAGCCTTCGGACTTATCATGGATAATGATAATTGCAATAAAAATTGACCTACTGTCTGTACCTCCCTAGCAAATTCATGAGCATTTCATGTGCCTCATTTACTTTTAATTTTATCAGTTGTTGTGAGAATTGCAATCTGTTCTCATAGAATCCCTACAGTGTGGAAACAGGCCCTTCGGCCCAACAGGTCCAAACCGAACCTCGGAGCATCCCACCCAGACCTGGCCCCTATAACCCACCTAATCTACACCTCCCTGAACGCTACGGGCAATTTAGCATGGCCAATCCACCTAACCTGCACATCTTTGGACTGTGGGAGGAAACCGGAGCACCTGGAGGAAACCCACGCAGACACGGGGAGAATGTGCAAACTCCACACAGACAGTCGCCCGAGGCTGGAATTGAACCCGGCTCCCTGACGCTGTGAGGCAGCAATGCTGACCACTGTGCTGCCCCTCTGATAATCATTGGGAAGTGAGCCTTCATGGTTAGATTACTATGTTTGGTAAATGCTGTTTAACAGTTCACGTCTATCTTATTGGACCTTTCCACTTCCTCTCACCTTTTTATGATAAATCTCCTGAAGTAAAATCATCTTAAATAATCTCATGATGGCTGAATGCTTTTGAATTTTTTTTCCCAGACCTCTGTCTTGACGACAGCTGAACTTCGTGCATGAAAAATGTTCTAATGTGCAAACAAACATGGAATTCATTCCTATTTTGTAGAACAGAAGAATTGCAGGTCAGAGACAGCAATTTGGACTTTCACCCATAGATTTATTGATGGGGACTATACACACCATCTTGAGCGAATTCTTTGCATAAAATATCTGTGTCAGGGCAGTTCTCAACTGGCTATAATAACTCTGGTTTCATTCCTGAGTATTATTATCGAAAGGCTTTAATCTGGTGTTGAAAGTGTAGAATTTAAAATACTTACTTGCCTCATGCCTTTTTAGATCTGTGACAGCTCATTAAAATCACATGGAAGGCTTAAGGAAGGATATGATAACATCCTCTGCTGCTTTTTAGAGATTTTGCACTTTTAATGGCTCTTTGTTAGCCTTGTATGCTTTTCATCAAGTGCACCTGCATTAATTTCATACAATTTTTAACCTTTGGCAAGTAGGGTGAGCAAAGTGTCTGTGACCTTTGTCTTTATTCTGTCTGATCAATGCCATTAACATTCCTCTTAACACTCTGATGCACACAAGTTTTGTTAAGGGTATATAATAATGTCTTGACTAGTTAAACCCAGATCTACTGATTTTCCAAAAATAAATTGCCGTGACATGCTCCATATTACATTTCAGTTGTATTTTTTTAGTAAAAATTGTTGGAGAAACTTCGGCAGCGTCTGTGGATAGAAATAATTCAGTTCTTTTCAGGAGCTCTCAAATTAAATGCTGATTGCAAGTCCAACTATTGAATTTTTTTTTTTTTCCTTTTTGATAGGTTTACTCAACAGGAGGCATCTCACAAGAAATTATATCACTCCTTAAAATGGCTTATTCCAACCATTTTCTGTGAAATTAGAATTCCTTTAGTGACATCTGTGTTATTACCAAACCTAAAACAAGTAGTGCTATTGCAGTCCTTTAACCTTGTATTGTTCCTCACTACTTAGTGAATCAAAATGACATTTTACTCAAATTGTTCCATGTACTGTTGAAATGCCAACCCCATCAAGCAGTTAAAATAGTGTACAACTAGCACATTCTCTAGATGACTAAAACTTGTCATCAGCATAATTTGTTAGTATGCACCATTTTCTTTGTCCTCTTCCTCAGAATGTTCTGTGGTTTTAGGGATCCTGTCTGTTATGCTTTGGATAGTTCACTGCGCAATAATACTTCGAGTCACACCATAAGTACTTATTGACTGTTCTTGATCCCTTCACTTTTTATTATACCAATTCAGTCATTTACACTAATAATTACATCTGCTAAGAGTGCTTTTATCCTTATTTTGTTTGACCTTCATCATACATTGATACCACTGCCCAGCATTTGGATCATTTCAAAATCAAGCAACATTGATTCCTCAATTGTTTGTCCTCATGGAATGTATTATTTATTCCATGAAGGCTCAATAAAACTGCTGCTTACCTAGGAACACTTTTTCAAGGCAGCAGAAATGTATACGATCCAATTGGATCCACATTTCAGAACTGAAGTGCCAGCTGGAGCCCATAGTCTGTCCGTATGAGACACCTTAGCACATCCAGCAACTTAACCATTAGTACTGATTCAGAATTGAACTTTGCTTTTTTTATGCTATTTATTAAGTCATCCATTATATATTTTTCAATGGAATGACTCTGTTTTCCACAAGCTGTCAAAGTCTGGCCACACTTCAGCATTAAACAGTTCTTTTTTTTTTATTGTTTACGTCTCATCAAAAACTTCTCAAAGAAGATCCAAGCTCTCTTTGCTGTTCCAATCGAAAAGAATCCATTTCACAAAATACTTCTGATTTTAAGAAGTGATGATCTAAGACCGTACCTTGTTTCCTTTTTGATTGAGATCTTAACCCAAATCTCGTTTATTCTTTTACTCATTTCTGACTTCAACATCTGACAGTATTCATACCTAACGATTTACTTTTACAATCTACCATTTTCCATTATGGGCACTGGGATAGTAATTTTCTCTTAAATGTTAATTATTTCTTTAATATCTAACCTTCACTTACTGTTCTGTTCTGTTATTGTTCTGTATTGACATTACATTCCAGAAAGCAAGTTCAAGGATAGAACTGGAATAAACAATGTTTCATATGTCTGTCCAAAAAGACATGCACAGCTGGGACCAAACTGTTTTCCATTGCAACACGTTTTTTATTTGGAGGAAGTAGGTCGACTTAAAAGCAAGCCTTACTTTGAGAATTTGTTCAGTGAAACAGGAGGTTGGGTGAGGGCAATTTGGGATTGTTTCGGCTTCTGTCAAGGAATAAGCTTGGCTCTCGGACTGTTATAATGAATGGAAGAGTAGGTAATTTGGGTGTCAATGGTGAAAAGATAATGGTTAGGGCCAGGAAACTGGAGGCGCACTGGTATGCTAGTTATCATTTCGGTTAAATATTATCAGTTCAAGGAGCCTTCTTATCCTTTTACTTGCTCATTGTCTTTTAAATTCATTAATGTATTGGTTGTGAGACCAGGTAGCTCTGCTGTTATTGGTATATTGCATGCAAACCTGCTGCACCTCTATTGGGTTGATCATTGAATCTAAGTTCTGCCTAATATTGCTTTATGTCCTTCTAATATTTCAATGAGTCAGGGTTCCCCCTGTTCCCTTTTGTCAACTCTTCCAATTTATTGCCTTAAAACAGCTATTATTTTGTGCAGGAGTCTCAACTACATCATAATTCCCATGGAGACTTTCCTATATCTGAACCAGAATGCAGCGAACATCTATTGAAACTGTCAACTGCTGCTTCAGCGCACGACTCAGGATGTGAAAGACCATGGCCTGTGGGTTTTTCAGGAAACAGAAATAGAATGGTATACTAGTTTCAGATGTGGAAATTAAGTGTCATTGCTGTTTAGTTGATTAAAGATCCATAAACACTGTAAAATTACTCTTTTCTAAACAGTTCTCCACATCTGATGGTTGCCATTTGTCTACACCTTTTCAATCGACTTTATATAATGAAACAGAGAGACTTCCAGGAGCATCTTCAAGATTCTTAACCTCCCAGAACGGTGATTCCAAGAGGCCTAAACTTGTGTCAACTGGTTCTCCTAGAAATGGTGCTGATTGTGAGAGCAACAATTCAGGTATTTCTCCTTCATCCCATCACATGAACTTCATTTTAATCAATGCCTTCTCTCTCTTCTTCCTAAGGATTAATAGCTGCAGGTGTTAGCTTTATGATACTCAATGTACTGTTCTGTGACATGTATTACAATGAAATGTGAGTGCCTAAGGATACCTTTTTTTTTGTGTCTCACTTTCTACTGGGGCGCAGGGTTAACCTGATATTCAGAACGATATTATCACATTGAACAGAAATTTCCATTACTGTCTGTTAAAAATTTGCAGTTGTTGAGCTCCACTGTGTAATTGTTCTTTAGTGACACGGCAGGAGGTTCTAGTCCAACAAGTTTTGAAATCATAAGCTTTCGGAGCGCTTCCCTTCATCAGGTGAAGTGAAGAGAAGCACACCGGCACAGAGTTTATAGGCAGAGAGATCAAAAGATTATACAAAAGGTGGGAATGGAGTGTCGACAGGCTGAATAATAAGTGTCTGCAGGTGATCAAAAGTGTCAGTGTGAATAAAGTGTCAACAGCTGAATAGCAAGTGAAGGGATCACCTATAATCCAATTAATTGAAGTACAGAGATAGTTACAAAAACTTACAAGTAACGTGGTGCTGGAGACAAATCAAATAGCTGGAATAACTTGATACATAGAAGAGTCGCATGCTGAGGATCGAACTAAAACTCGAAAGCTTGTGATTTCAAATAAACCTGTTGGACTATAACTTGGTGTCATGTGACTTCTGACCTTGTCCACCCCAGTTCAACACCAGCATCTCCATGTCATAACTGTTCTTATGATATTGCAGATACAGAGCTCTGTGCAAACGGTGAAAACATAACTTCAGCATGGCAAAAGCTGATATAACATCTCTAGCACAAAGACTAGCAATTGGGTAGAACAAAGGTGTCTTGGTGCAGATGTTTGCTCAGTTATCCTTGAGTACAATTACATGGTGTAAAGTGAAATTCTGTGGTGATCCTTGTTTGAAATCTCCTATCACCCTGCCTCGCCAGATTGTTTTGATCTTGTAGTGAAAGATGCGACTTTATATAAATTAATAGCACTTATTCTAGGCTTTGGATTTCAAACTAGTAGCTGTTAGTCTATTTTCATGAAGGGTTCAATAATCAACTGGGTTAGTCTTTCTGGAACCATGATTTTAATCAGTGTCAGACACCAGGTGACTGAGGATCAGATCTGATGTTAAAGCATTTAAGTCAAACCCACAAATTTGTTAGAAAAGGGAAATTTATCTGGATTTTGATTAAAATGGTGTTAGGTGGTCAATAGGATTTTATTTTGTTGTATTTTTTTTAAAACCTTTCAAACTGTTGTATGATCTTCGGTTTATTTTTAGTCTTTTGTGTAATAAACTACTTTTGTTGTCAAATCTTCAGCTTTGTATGTCAATGAAAGACTGTTTGTTTGTTTTTGGGGGGAAAATTATCTATCAAGCCAGATTTCATTATGGGGTCTGACTTCTCTGATAGTGACAAGTAATGAGCAGAAGAAGACACTGGTGGCAGTAGTTTATAGGACCCTTAAGAGTTGGCTGTCCTGTAGGGCAGAGAATAAATCAGAAGATAAGAAAGGCATGTTTAAAAAAAAGGCAGTATATTAATCTTGAGTGACATTAATCATCTTATAGATTGGGAAAATCGAATTGCAAAGGTCACCGTGCAGAAGAATTCAGTCAGGATAGTTTCTTAGAACAAAATGTTGTGGATCCAGCCAGTGATCAGGCTATTTTGGCTTTGACAATTTGTAATGAGGCAAGTTTAATAAATTATCTCAGAGTAAAAAATCCCCTTGAAACAGTGACCATGATATGACAGAATTAAGCGTTCGGTTTGAGAGATAGAGAAACTTGGGTTGGAAGTAATTGTACCGAACTTAAATAATTCCATGTGAATGAAGGAGGAGTTGGCAGGAGTGGACTAGGAAGGGAGTTTAGCAGAAAAGATGGTTGATCAAAAATGGCACATATTTTTTAAAAAAGTTCATGATTGACTGCAAAGATATATAACAGTGAGGAAGGTGATTCCAGAACGGGGATGAATCAACCACGGTTAACAGAGAAGTTCAAGGATAGTATTGAATTGAAAGAAAAAAACATAATGTAGCTAAGATTAGTGGTAAACCAGAGGTTTGCAAAAGTTTTAAAACGGACAAAAATGACCAAAGAATATTAGAGGGAGAAACTAAACTGCAAGTAATCTGGTAAGACGCATAAAAATGGACAGTAAGAGCTTCTTCAGATATATGAAAAAGAAGAGAAAATTGGGCCCTTAGAGAGCGATTTTAGGAAAATAATGGTTGAGTAACTACATAACATCAGTCTTCACAGTAGAGGATACTAATAGCATTCTCAATAATACAGGCTAAGGGGTGGGGTGAGGAAATAAATACAATAACTATCACTGGAGGAAAAGTACTAGGTAAACTAATGGGATTAAAGGCTGATGACTACACTGGACCTGATGGGTTTCATTCTAGGATTTCGAACAAGTAGCTACAGAGATAATTGATGCTCTGGTAATAATAATCCAAGAATCCTTAGATTCTGGGAAAGTCTAGAAGATTGGAAAACTGCCAATGTATTATTCAAAAAGGGCTAGGAACAGAAAACAGGCAAGTAACTATATGCCAGTTAACTTAACATCTGTTTATGGGGAAATTTTAGAGTCTATTATAGTAGCAGAGCACTTGGAACCCATAATATCATCAAGTAGAGTCAGCATGGCTTCATGAAGGGGAAACCATGTGTGACAAAGTTATCATAGTTCTTTGAGGAGGTGAACAGCAGGGTAGATGAAGGTGAACCAGCAAATGTAATATACTTGCATTTACAAAAGGCATTCAATATGGTACTAACTAATAGATGACAGAGTTGGGATAAAGGGGGCATTTCTAGGACAGCAAGTTGTAACTAGTGGATTGACACAGGGATCAGTGCTGGGGCCACAGTTATTTACATTATATATTGATGACTTGGATGTCAGAAGTGAATGTGCTATAGCCAAGTTGAGGATAACAAAAATAAGTGGCGAGGCAATTATCAAGGATGACACAAGGAGTCTACAGAGAGCTATAGACAAATTCAGTAAGTGGGCAAAAACTTGGTAGATGGAATATAACATGAGAAAGTGAGAAGTTATGCATTTTGGCTGGAAGAATAGAAGAGCTGAATATTATTTAAATGGGGAAAGACTGTGAAAACTGCAGCACAGAGAGATTTGGACGTACTAGTGCATGAATCGCAAAAAGCTAGCTTCCAGATTCAGTGGGGTAATAGGGAAAGCAGATGGAATGTTGGCCTTTATTTCAAAGGGAATGGAGTATAAAAATAGGAAAGTCTGGCTATACAAGGCATTGGTAGACCACATCTGTAATACTGGTTCCCTGGTTTGGAGGCTTTCCAGAGAAGGTTCATCAGGTTGATTCTGGGTATGGAGAGATTTTCCTCTGAGAACAGTTTGCATAACTTGGGCCTGTACTCATTGAGTTTAGGAGCATGACAAAGGACCTGTTTGAAATATATAAGATTCTTGTTTGGTATCTTTTGCAAATTTCTGTTGTCTACCAATTATGTATAACCAATTTTTTTTGTCCAAATTAGAAGCAAACTGAGGTAAAAGCAGCCCACTTGGTACTTGCGGCTGCTGACCTCGCATGAATGAAACTGGTTGAAGGAATTAAATACTTTATAAAAATATTTTATTCTTCAACTAACTTGCCTATTCCAGGAATGAACAGCTGTGAGGTTGTGGTTTAAAGTTGGAATCAAAGCATGAGATTTCTAATTGTATTCCAATATTTATCTTTCCTGAGCAATAAATCATAGAGGTCTACTGCACGTAGAAAGACCATTCAGCTCTGCATAGGTCAAAAACAAGCATCTAACCATTCTAATCCCATTTCTAGCACATGACCTATAGCCTTGTATGCCGAGGTGCCACAAATGCATATCTAAATACTTTTTACATGTTATAATGTTTTCTGCCTGTACTACAATTGGAAGCAGCGAGTTCCAGGTTCCCATCACCTTCTGGGTGAACAAGTTTTTCCTGTCTTCCTCTCTCAAACCTCCGGCCATTGATCTTATTGACCATTGCGTGGGTAATTGATCTCTCCAGCGAGGGGAAGAGTCCCTTCCTGTTCATCCAATCTATGCCCCTCAATTTTATACATCTCAATCATGTTCCCCCTCGGTTTTCTGTCTCCAAGGTAAACAACCCCAGTGTGTCCAATCTCCTTTCGAACTAAATCTCTCCAGCCCAGAAAACATAGTGAATTTCCTTTGCAGAGGATGCAATCCCATCCCTCCAAATTGTGGATTCCAGAACTACACACAGTACTGTAACTATGGCTTAACCAATGTTTATACAGCTCCAGAATAACCTGCCTGCAGTTAAACTCTATGCTTTGGCTAATAAAGGCAAGTGACCCATATGCAGCCCTGTTTACGTTCTCTACCTTTGAATGATAGGAAGAGGCCATTTGGCCTGTTGTATCCATACTGACCCTCGAAACAGCATTCCACCCAGTCCTGCACCTACCTTATCCTTTTAATCCTGCATTTCCCATAGCTAACCCACCTAATCCACATATCCCAGGACACTACGGGGCAATCTTTGGTCGGTGAGAGGAAACTGGAATGCCCGGAGGGCCCATGCAGACACTAGGAGAGTGTGCAAAATCCACGCAGCCTAAGGGTGGAATTGAACTTGGGTCCCTGCACTGAGGCAGAAGTGCTAACCACCTGAGCCACCATGCCACCCCAACAGTGAAACAGTACCTGTCTCACTACTTTAAGGGACCAGTTGAACCGTGCACCAAGGTCCTGATGATCCTTGATGCTTCCCATGGTCTTGCTGTTCATCATGTATTTCCTTGTCTTGTTTGTCACATCCAAGTGCATCACCTCGCACTTATCTGAATTGATTTCTACTTGTCACTGATCAGCCCATTTGCCAGCCGTCTATATATCCTCCCATAATGTAAGGCTATCCTC